ACAATTGCTGTTTATGTTTTGTTTATGGGTTCTAACTTTAACCCATGTTTTCAACTAACACTACTCAACAAGGCAGACTGAGAGAAATGTACTCCATGTCTGCCATTGACAGGAATTTAAACAAATTGTCAAAGCTATTTTTTTCCTAAACTCCATGCTAACTGTGGGTTCTGGCAGGTTCCATTAAACAAGCAATCAAAAATGTTTACTACATGTTTGACCCAATTTGGAAGTTTTTTTTAAGAGATTGCTATTCTGATGGCTTCATTCCCAATTTCCTATGGACTACGTCCAATTTATTCAAGGATTTAAAAGATGTCATTTGTCACACAGATGAATTATTGACACATGGAGGGATGGTCAAGGAACATGACTAGAGTCCATGCAAGTTTAAAATGCCCACAAGGATATACCCTCAACTAAAAGTGTGCACTTTCCAAGGAACCTATTGTTCCTTGGAACATGGTGTTGAAATAAATGGATTAAAGTTAGAACCCATAAAACGAAACATAAACAGCAATTGTTGGAAAAGCTGAGGAGGTCTGGCAGCATCTGTGAAGAGAAATCAGAGTTAACATTTTGAGTTGAATGACTCTTCCTGTGTTCTGACGAAGGTTCACTCGACCTGAAACATTAACTCTGATTTCTCTCCACAGGTGCCTCCAGACTTGCTTAGCTTTTCCAGCAATTTCTGTTTTTGTTTCTGAATTGCCGCATAGGCAGTTCTTTCGGATTTTAAATAAAAAATGAAGGCTGTTCAGGAGCCTCCCATTCTGAAACTAGTTGATGACTGCAAAGGTTGCTCAGCATGGTAAACACATTGGCAAAAATATTTGCTTGATTTGGCAAAAATTACTGAATCCTTGAGGAAACTAATAAAGAAAATGCAAGGAAAGATCTCAGACGTGCAGATAGGCCAGAATATCTGTAGAAAATGCAATCCATTTTTTTCTGGTTGCCATAGCTTCAGATGCTTCAGCTACAGGCATATGAGCAGTGATCTTCCAGAAGCAGTCCGATGGGTGTCAGAAACTGCTGTATTATAACTAAATGGAGACTCAACACACAACTATAGAGACTGTGTATTTGATGGCACCAATAATCCACTGATACTTGCTGACTCCAAATGCTAACATCTGATTTTTCTCATTTTGCAAATTGCAATAAAAAAGCCAATGGAAAAAGATTCTTTTCTTAAAAAGAAAACTACTTTGCTTGACAATTTTCTTTTACATTTACCAATATATATCTTCATGCAGTTCTTTTCATTTTAATGTATTTGCCATGTTTTTATTGGTCTTTTTAAAAATGAGTCTTGGGTGTCAACAGACTCAGTCAGATAGAAAAGAAGGCTCTCTTGGCAATATGGGCATGTGAGCAATTATTGGACTATTTCCTTGGCATGAAATGTTTTGACAGGATGGAATATAAATAATTGGTCTCCCTATTAGAATTCAGAAGGATGTCTCCATGGATGGTTCTGACTTTTCCTTAAGAGATGTGCTAATGAGACAAAATATGTATAAGGGAAGTGATGGCAGCAAACGCACCATCCAGTGTGACTATTAAAAATCTTACAGTGTCTGAGGGGCAATTATTTGGTTAAATTGAATTGTATACTTAGGCCACTACGATATGGTGGCCTACAACTTAAAACAGACTTAATAAAATCTAACAGGAACAAAAAGACCAAGAACGTGTTGCCGTTCATCAGTATTGTGCCAAATGTTGGCCAGCATCAAAGACTCAACAGTTTGGACTTGAAGACCTATTTGGATCATTAACAGCATTTCACTGTTATAGACGTTCTCATGTTGGATGAAAGGCTGGTCATTCCAGAGACACTTGAGGTTTGTTAGCCACGCAGCCAGTGCTCAGATGTTGGAGCGGTGGCCAGGGAATTAAAACCAGATTTGCAACCTCAAAGCTGACTGAGCAACTTGCATTATTCACAGGCCTGAGCAGGGACAGCTGCTTATCCCTATTGATCTCCCGACCCAGATCACAAGAACAAGTGGATACAAACTTGGTGGTATACTTAGTGGATACGAAGCTCTACACCTTGTTATCTCAGATTCTCCAGCATCTGCAGTTCCTTCTATCTCTGGATACCAACTTCTCCAAGTTTGATAGATGGTCTTAACCGATTGCTGTCAATAACTTTTCATAATGATTAGAGTACAGTTTAAATAGATATATAACAGCACAGATACAGTTGTCAGGGTGTTGCATGAAATATTCACTACCTATGGGGTCCTTGATGTGGTTGTGTCAGACAATGGAACACGGTTTGGTAATGAGCAGTTCAACGAATTTGCAGCCAGTTCTGGATTTGAACATGTAACTACATGGCTGAGATACACACAGTTGAATAGGGAAGCTGAACATGGGATTCAGATTCCTTTTGAAGTAAAACATTAAATTTTTATAGAGGCTTGTTAAATTATTGATCCACCCCACCCCGCTGTGGATTATCGCCATCAGAATTGCAATTAGGGAGAAATCTGAAGACTCATCTCCTGATCCTACCGAAAAGATTGACTGCACTTGAGTTCATGGACCTATAAAAATGTATGTAACAGGGAGCAGTCGGGGGTAGCAGGCTATTCACTACAACGGATGTCACAGTGTACAACAGTTGCCACATCTGAACTAAAGGCAGTATAGACAAGGGACATGAACAGAAATGGTACATTCATCCAAGAGTCAGTGGAACAGCATTTGTACAGAAGAACTTCAGGAACTTAATTTCATTGTAGAAATTTCATCAATTAATATTTGACTGAGATAACCCCAATGGAGGATGTCATGACAGTAATAGTTCACAGAACACACAAGGTCAAGATCAGCATCAAGATTAACAGTCCTCAACCCCAAAACTTACAAATTTTCAAGTCACATTAGAACACATTTTGGAAGAATTGCAAAACTATCAGAATACTGGGGTTTGTGAGGCCAGAGAGTTGTGGGTGATTGAGTGATAGTAAAGGTTAAAAAAAAACATTCCAACCAGATCTCTAGTGAGGTTCTTCAATTCACTCAGATTCCAGTTGGGATGTCCCAAACTGTTAAACTCCCAGGTGATGTTGGATGATTTGGATCCCCTTCTTTACTCAACCACCTTTTCAGCTGCTTGCAACAAGGTTCATCTAAAAGGGATGTTCTCCCTTGTGGATGCTTTTCTCCCAGACTCAAATTAACTTATGCTTTAAAAAGAAGCCAATTATTGAATTTATTAATTACTAAATGTGAAAAGAATTAGTAATGCAATACAAAAAAATACAGATTAAAAATAAGGTATGAGTCTAAACGCTAAAAGTTAAAGTGAGATATATTGATTTCCCACGGATTTGTTGCCAAAGAGCAGATAGTTGAAAGTTGTGGGTATTGCAGTGAAGGTCACCAGTAGCATTGATATTGATAGTTGAACACATGGTTTCATAATCCTTAATTTTGCAGATTGGCTGAGATTCAGTCAATCTGAATCTAATCAATCTTGAATAAGCATTCAGGGTGAGAGGGTCATTTTGTTATCCACTTTCCCTTTTAACTAATTTGCAGCACTTTGAGTAGGAGACAATTTTTACCTGCAACGCCGGGGTATTTAGCTGATAGTTCTTCAACTGTGACTTTCATAGAAAGATAACACGTGAACCCAGGCTGGAATGCACAGAAGTGTTCAGTACCACTAGTGAACTTCTCTAGATTTGAAACTGATTCTTTAACTCCTATCCTTGTGTATTCTTTAAAAGAAAAAAAAAACACCAAATGTGTTTGCAGTTTTAGGCATAATCTGCAAGTGGGTGGCATGCTGGTGAGCAAGGGATTATCAGCCCCTCATTACTTTGGTAACCACAAGAGATCACAGTCCCACTTGTTTGTAGCTTCTTCAGACACCTCTTTAAGTGATATATTCCATAAGTCTTGCTGTGGGACTATTATTTTTGGTTGCATCTGTCTGGTTTAAAAAAAAACATTTTGGAATTGCAAATCAAAAATGTCCACAGCATGTTAGGGTTCTAAGCTATGATAATGACAATATCTGAATGTATAAATTTTAAACAAAAGCTTTAGAGTGGGAGGAGGGAGACATGGTAAAGTTAATGGTTCTGAATGAATTATTATTAAGCTACATTAATCTTTATCCAATTTGTTAATGTCTCACACTCCTTGGGTAGGGAAAAGGAGTCTAGAATGAAGTTCTGATGGTGTCAGATGTGTCATCTTTGGAACAGAAATAGAATTTGCTGGAGCATCTGTGAGAGAAAACCAGAGTTAATGCTTCAAATTCAGTGACCTTCCTTCAGAATTTATTTTCGTGTCATCTCTGCATCCTTTTAAGTATAATTCCAAAGATTGGCTCGCCAATGGAACTTGGACCTGTTGCTGTCATGAAACAAATTATATCTTCTTGTGTATGACAAGTGCCTGCCTCTTGTCATTAAGACTTGAAGCGGGTTTGTTTTCTGCTATTGTTAATTAGATAGGAACTTAAAGTAGAATTGGTAGCAGCACTTTACTCCAATGTCAAGCACCAGTGGTTGGTACCTTGACAAGGTAGGTGGAAGAAAACCTTTTCATGAGAAAGTGAGTAAGCCTCTGGAGGATAGCAGATATTGAGTGAAGTGAGTATTGTCCTACCTTCTGTTTGTGAGTCCAAATCTTTTTCAAAATAGATGGCTTACCAATCCAGCAGAAGTATGAACATTAGATTTGCATGTTAGTTCTGACTTCCCAGTTCAATCCCCATTCTAGAACTTGAGTGTTTAATCTAAGCAAACTCTTTTGGAGTATTTAAAGTCAGTGCTGCATTGTCAGTAGTGCTCTCTTTCTGGATGTGACATCAAACTAAGTCCATGTGTAGTGATTAGAACAAGGTCAGCCAGGTGGACCTCATTGAATATGAGTTTCCTGATTGGGGCTGTTAATCTGGTCCAATCAGAGAGCCTTGCTGACTGATATAAACAGGAGTGTTAGACATCCTGTTCACTCTGAGAGCAGTCTCAGAGGAAGCCAGACCAGTGTCAAGTACTGCGCACATGTCACCAAAAGATAATTTGGTGAGTAAATATTGGCCATGCATACACATTTAGAAGTTTTGCAGAAAGTTAGTCAGCAAGTAAAATGTAGTTTACTTCCTCCAATCATCCAGTTTCCCCATGGACCTATCATTGTCCTGTTCTTTTTGTAGGTACCCAGGCACCCACTGAAGGCAGTGGGATACACTCATCTTAAACATACAGATATCACCAAGTTTCAACAGCCATTGCAAGCTGCAATCTGTTCAGGATCTTACCAAGCCAAATTTGTTGGGAAGAGAAACCTGGGCTATACATGATGCAGAAATAGAATTTAATTTTAATTCTTTAAGTAGTCTCCTTCCTGATCAGGAGAAGCAGATGTGCCCCTTTGGGTTTCTGATGTAAACGTCCAATCACCTTTGCGTTGCAGTACCAGTCTACACCAATGGGAATGTCCTGCAGCAAACAAGGCTTTACCACTTGCATTTCCTGAACCCTGACCAAAACTTACAGTCTTGAGTGCCAGGGGCCATTATTCCCTGCTGGCTGAAATTCCACTTCCTACTGCTCTGAAATGTAGTTAATTTTGGGCAGGAATTCCAATATTAACATAGATTGGAGTCAAGGAATTAAAATCTCCTCTTCCACATCCTTTCAAGGACCAGATAATTTCCTAACTATCTCAACACTCCACACATTCATTCCATCCATTTTTAACTGGTCTTTCATTTTGTTTGCAGTTTGTGATCTTTCTCTGACTACCAAGGAGCTATCATATTTTCCTACATAATCCAAGCACGTTACAGAGGGTGTAAATGTTTGGAATTTCCTGAGGAAATAAAAATCAGTTTCACATCAATGTTCCATATAGGAATTTGCTTTCTCAATCTTGCATTGTAGCTATTGTAATTTCTAAGAAGTTTCCTGTTGCTGCTTCTAAAGTCAGTGCTCACTTTTTACAACATTAAATATTTGGCACTAAATGGAAAACTGTCTGAATTACAAAACAATTGAGAATCATATAGTTGCAGTCTTGCATATATCCTGCCAATTGACACATGGCTTTACTTCATATCATAGTAATTCATGAACACCCAGTGCACATTGTCTTCTCTATCATTATGGTAATTTTTTAAAGCATGTTGCTTAGGTTAAAAGTTCTTCAGCTATGAAGAAAGATTAGATAGATTGGAGTTATTTTCTTTAGTGCAGAGAAGGCTGAGGGGGTATATGATTGAGCCGTACATAGTTCTAAGGAGCACAGACAGTGTTGATTCGGATGAGCTTTTCCCCTTGGTAGACAGATCAATAACCAATGGGTACAGTTTTAGTGTAAAGTGCAGGATGTTTAGATGAGATTTGAGAAAACAATTCTGACCCAGAAGTTTACGGGTATCTGAAACTCACTGAGTAAAATGTGGTGGAGGCAAGAACTCTCAAGACATTTAAGAACTATTTTAACAAACACTTGAAATGACAAGGCTATGGACCAAGTGATGGAAAGTGGGATGTCAATAGTTAGATGTTTGAGGAGCAGCATAGACTCAATGGCCGAAAGGCCTCTTTCTGTGCTGTAAAAAGTTTCACTCTCAGTTGATCACATTAGATGCTTCTTTAGACTATGTACACTGGAAGAAACTTACCTGGGCCAAGGTTTGTTCTTCAAAGATCTGTTAGTGCAATTGGAAAATGCAGTCCTGATTTATTGGGACCATAGAACCCCTACAGTGTGGAAACAAGTCCGTCAGCCCAACAAGTCCACACTGAACCTCAGAGCATCTCACCCAGACACATACCACATAATCTACACATCCCTGAACACTACAGGCAATTTAGCTTGGCCAATCCACTTAACCTCCACATCTTTGGACTGTGGGAGGAAACCCATGCAGACACGGGGAGAACTTGCAAGCTCCACACTGACAGTCGCCCGAGAGTGGGATTGAACCCGGGTCCATGGTGCTGTGAGACAGCAGTGCTAACCACTGAGTCACCGTGCTGCCCTAATTTTGCATTAAATCTGGCTAATAGCTGTACAACTGTACTTTCTGCCCTCATTAAAAGTCTATGTGTTATGTCACAGATTTTGTTTTATGTTCATGCTGTGAGTTAGTGTCAGCATATTACAAGAAGTGATTTTCTCACCAGATTGTGCATGCTCTTTCTACGTTTTTTATTTTTAGCACCTTGCCTTTCAAAACATGATAAATATTTAAATGAGGATATAATTGTAACCTCATGCAATATTATTTGCATTTAGTGACAGAGGCTGCTTTGGACCATTTCCTTTCCTCATATTCTCTAGTTTTACAAAAGCTTTCCCTTCTCTGATTTTCTTTTGCCTTCTCTCCTACCAATTGAACATTGTGGAAGATTTCCAGCATTGACACAATGGGCAGAATAGTCCCTTTTTGTGCTTTGTCATTCTATAATTCTTGATTTCAAACCTGCCAGCGATTTTCTCAGATCATTTTGCACTGACAAGTATGAGCTGACATATTGACTATTGTTAAGCTATCTGACTATGGAATAACACGTTCTATGTGCTGTTATTTGATATCCTCATGTGCATTTTCTAGGAGGTATCATTGGATAGTGATGGGGTGTGGAAACAAAGGGTGCCTTTCTTTAGACCCCAGGGATGCAAAGGTTAGTATCCATTGCCTTGCCACATTGTGCTTTGCAAGCCAGCCAAGCTAGATAAAAGCTGGGATTTTTCTGATCTGTGTGGCTGAGAACCAGACACTTGGGAAGCCAGATATCCTTATATTAAAAGTTAGATGTACTACAATACAATGAGGTTGCCAATCATCAGGGCTACAATCTGAAATGTAATTTAAGGATCACACTGTTAAACTGTCCCTTAAAATTTTGAAATGTCGGTATAATCATCAATTGCTGTATGATCAAAACTAAAGCTAAGCTGTTCCTTTAAACATAAAACTCCCACTTATTCTACAAATGTAAAAACCACTATTCTGATATATATCATATCCTTCTCCCCAAAACAACTTTTTTGCTAAGCTCTATTTCACAGCGATAACTCACTTCGTCAGATAACATCAGACATCTTTCATATTTTAAGGATCTGTGTTTCTGGCTCAGCATGTTTGATGTTGCACATCTGTATTTGACATTTTCAGCTCTTTGTTAATATTGATTGATGTTGATTCTGTATGTTTATTTGGAAATACACACTGCAGCCAGCTTTTAATGGTAGATCAGCGATCCCCAATGGCTAATCCTTTCAAATAATTACATGAAAACACAAATATCTAAGGGCCAGATTTTCAATTCCTAGGAAAAGACAGCATGAGGATCTGGAAGTCCTGTCTCCGTTTCCAGTAGACCCCATTTTCATTGCTAAGAAATAGGGTGTGAATATCACAGGCATAAATTACAGAGCAGCTAGACCATTTGAATTGAATGCAGGTGAATGATTTTGCACTCTGGAAACAGCTTCAGCCTGCAGTCTGTTGCACAACTTTACGTTGAAGTCACATGTGCTCTTGAAGGATGTGTAAGACTTTCAAGTTGTTTTTATTTAAATCACCTGTCCTTTAAAATTTGAAAAGAAAACCTCTTGTCTTTGTCTGGGGGGAGTAAAGAAATGGTTCTAATGGGTTAAAATGTATTTCTTGGGGTTGTAAGTTCACAGTTTGATGGACTGCTCAAATAGGTTATTAAAGGATTAGTTGTCTTTGATACGCGATTATGAGTACCAATATTTGTTTTTAAAGATACAGTATTTGAGGGAATTTAAATATATTGAATTGTCTTTTATAAATGAGAACACATTTCTTAAATGCAGTGACATCTATAAAGGAACCTAGAAATTTATTTTATTTTATCTAAGCTTGACACTTGTCTTCCCATGGAGGATACCGGATGAGTTGGGTTGAAGGGTGTAACCATGAAAGTTGGTTGGCATGGGATCGTATCATCTGGCTTTGCTTTGAAATTGAGAATGTGTGGGTCATGAGTAGACACTAGGTTGGTATAGGTCCTACATGAGACCATGAGGATAGGTGGAGGTCTATGGGTTGTGATAGATCATATGAGTGGCATTGAGGTGGATGGAGGGGCATAAGTTGGCACGGAGGGTATGAGGGATCATTAAGAGTGGATTGAGTGCATAGTTTGGTAGGAATTAGAAAGAATGGGCGTGTGGAGTGGGTAAGGGAGATTGAGGTGTGAGATAAAGATGGGCAAATATTTAACAAAAGAGCAAGGATTAAGCCTCAGAGAGCAGAGCTGGGCCTTTTAACTACTCTTGGAGCTGAGCAACCCTTGTGGCTCTTTCTGATCTGCAACCAAGGTTAGTGGCTTGAGTCTCTCCCAGAATTAAAATCACCCCATTTGGATATGCTGCAATGGGAAATTTCTTGTTTCAAGCTATCCAAATTGATGGTAAAAATCTGACTATAAGAGGTAAGATCAAGGTGTGGCACTTGGGAGACGATGGTAGCAAGGTTTTTTCTGTCTATGGTGATGGCCTTGAAGCATGACTAGAAGAATTTTGGTGAACAGGACATTGCTTCCTTATGTGTGGAATTGGTTGGGGGATCCTGAAAGAAATTGCAAATATCGATCAACAGCATTCTGGATCATGAAACTGGTGGGAATATACTGTCAACACAAGAGGTTTAGTCAAATAAATGTCTTGGAACAATGTCCAGACCCCTGACGTTCCACAGGTTTAAAAAGTCCCTTTGTTGACCTCAAAGTTTGGGTATTATGTGTTGATCATAAATCATGCCTTGACTTGTTTCCCTACCCCAGTATATTTCAGTCCTAACTGGCAACTGTGTTAACACTGGATTAAATCCAGAAAATTGGTGAATTAAAGCTAAGTAGACAGTCTTTTTTCAACTTTTTAACACATAAGCAGTGTCAGGATCTTTGGTTTAACTCATCAATGCTGCTCAATCACACTATTCTTTCCTGAAATCTTGTATTCATTAGCAATGATGCACACGATGTGCATCATACTGATGGTGAATTTTGAAAAATCCAAGATAAAGTATCTTACTCTGGGC